ATAAAAAAAATGTATTTTCAAATTCTTTTTTGATTTAATAAATGGCAGTTTGTTCAGAAAAAAAGAGCCATAAGGCATTTGATGAATTGCACGTGTGTAATGTGCTTATGTGGAAGGGAAATGAAGGACAACAACGATGCAAAAGGGAAGAAAGGATTCATTGATGCTTGTAGTCCTGGCTGTGTATATCAGAGAAGACCTAAAATCAATCACCTACGCTTCCACCTGAGGAGACCAGAAAAAAGAGCAAATTAGTGCTAGCAAACAGAATGTAGGGAATTATTAAAAATCAGGGACAAAGGGGCTGGAGAGATAGTTCAGCAGTTAGAGCACTGGCTGCTTTTGCAGAGGACTTGGGCTTGGTTTCTAGCACCCACTTGGTGGCTAACAACTACCTGTACCTCCAGGTCCAGGGAATCAGGAACTCTGTTTTGACCACCATGGGCATTGCATAATACGGGTACACTTACATATACGCAACTGAAATAGTCACACATAAAATAAAAATGAATAAAATAAAAATGAATAAAATAAAAACTGTCAGGGAAGATAAAAACATACTGTATTTATTTAATATACATAAATTTTATTTGTATAAAATATTAGAGCATAAATTAGAAAAGTTGAAAAAAAATCAAAAGAGGAAATCAATGAAACCAAAACCTGATTCTTTGTAAAATCAAAAACAGCATTAAGTTTGCATTGAGGCTAAATAGGAAACAAAAAAGAGGGCAGAAATTGATAATATCAGAAATGAAAGATATGACATAATTACAGGTCTCATGGACATTAAATAGAAAAGAAAGGGATTTTGTGAAAATGATATTTCCCATAAATTTGAATATCCATGTGAAATGAATCAGTTCCTTGAAAAACACAAACTACCAAAGTTCATAAAGAAGAAATAGATTATCTGAGTAATACTGTACATGAAAGAAGTTTAATCAGTAATAAAGAACAACTTTTATTAAAAAAATAATAAGTAGGCTGTATTAGTCAGGGTTCTCCAAAGAAACAGAACCAGTAGAATGAATATATTTGTATAGAGATTTATCAGCTTAGCTCACAGGATAGAGTCCGAGTAGTCCAACAATGGCTGCACCACACTGGAGAGGCTGAGAATCCGTACTCGCTCAGTCCACGAGGCTGGGTGTCTCAGTCCCAATTTGGCGCTGAAGGTCTGACGAATTCCAAAAGATCAGCTAGTCTTCAGTCTATAGCAGCAAGACAAACTCACCAGCGAGAGAGAAGGCAAGCAGCAAGAAGCCAGGTGTTTGCCTCTGCCATGGCCTTTTATATGGGCTGCCATCAGAAGGTAACACTCACATTTAGGGCATGGCCAAGACCAACTCAGCTTCAGGTGATCCGCTTAAGAAGATCTCTCTCATTTCAGTTAATCCCAGATCCAGTCAAGTTGACACCCAGGATTAGCCACCACATAGGCCTAGACAGGTTCATTCATGAGTTTTGCAAAATATTAAAGAGAGTAATTGAATCAGTTCTGTGCAATCTTTCAGAAGATCAAAGCTGTGCAAATAATTCCTAATTCATTCTAAAGTTAACATTAGTCTAATAACAAAGCCAGGCAGAGATACACGAAGAAAGGAAAACAACAGATCAATAGCTCTCATAAGCAAAAATTCAACATTTTGAAATAAAATGTCAGTAAATAAAATCTAAATGTATACAAGCAATTATCCTCATGGCAAAGTAGAATTTATCCTAGATATTCATAATGAGTTCAGAATTTGAAAATTAATTTGTATAAATCATCTTATCATAAAACTAAGAAGAAAAATCACATGATCATATCAATAGATTCAGAAAAGGCATTTGATAAATTCCAATATCCTTTCATCATAGAAAGAATAGATTCCACTTAAACTTGCGAAAGAATATTTATAAATATCCTGCAGCTAATAACATGCATTTCTAAGTGGAATATGAAATTTTCTTAGTAAATCAGCAAGAATGTTCCCTCTCACTACTCCTTTTTGATACCATGCTGTAAATTACAGCAATGCCATAAAACAAGAAAAAGAAGTAAAGGCACACTGTTTAGGAAAGTGTTGGTAGGAAGATTTCAGCACACAAGAATAATATACAGAATTCAGTTGCTTTTCTGTAAAACAGCAATGAGCAAGTGGAATTTGAAAATAAAAACTCAATAGAAGCAGGGTATGGCATCTCATGACTTTCATGTACTCAGGAAGTTGATGCAGAATTACTGTAGGGGTGAAGTCAGTGTGGTCTACATAGCAATTTTCAGGTCAGCCTGGTATACAGAGTAAGACACTTTCTATACGCACACACACACACATACACACACACACACACACACACATCCTAGAACCACTTACATTATTACCTCTTAAAATGAGATACTAGGTATATACCTAGCAAACCTGTATATGTTCTATATAAAGAAAACTACAAATCTGATGAACAGAATAAATACAAACCTAGGTAATTAGGGAAATATTCATATTCATTGATAGAAAGACAATATTTTCAAGATTTAATGTTTCCTATCTTGTTCTATAGATTTAATGGAATTTAAATAAAATTATCAGCAAATTATTTTACACACATTAGTATTTATTCAAAAGTTAATATGGAAAGGCAAAAGACCCAGAATATTTGAGACAACATAAAGATAAACAACACAGCTGGGGTTCTGGCACTCTGAACACAAGGCTTACCATAAGACTGCAGAATACAAAACAAGGTGGTAATGATGAAAGATTAGACAGACAGGTGAAAGGTGGAGGTTAGAGTGCTGAAAAATAGACTCACATAAATATAGTCACTCGGCCTCGACAAAGGAGTAAAGACATTATAGTAATGTGAAGGTGGCCTTTTTAATAAACGATTCTACAAAAGAATGGCAAACTGAATGTAAAAGAAAAGAATATAGACACAGACATATAACTTTCATAAATTAACTCAAAATTGATCAGCAATCAAAGTATAAAATGTGAAAGTATAAAATCAGGGAAGCTAGCAATAGAGAAATGTGTGGATGACAGATGACCATGGGTTTGGCATTCAGCCTTGGCATCACTCCCAAACCCCACACCCATGACTTTCTAGATAGAACATCAACAGAGCCATAAAAGAAATAATTGATAAGCTGGGGTTCATTAAAATTTAATTTTTGTTGTTGTTGTTCTGAGAAAAACAGTGTCAAGAGAATAAAAAGAGAAGAAACAGGCTGGAAGAAAATATTGCAAAAGCTGTGCTAAAGTACCATTATTCAGAACAGAGGTTATACAAAGAATCAGAAGTTATATAGAAGAAAATCCCTTCTAACACTGGAAAAGTTAGAAAAGAAAATACCTGATTAAAGATGAACAAATGAGGCTGGAGAGGATGGTTCAGCAGTTAAGAGTTCTGGATGCTCTTGTAGAGGACCCAGTTCAGTTCCCAGTACCCACTTGGTGGCTAACTAGTATCTGTAACTCCAGTTCCAGGGTATCAGATTTCCTCTTCTACAGCAAAATAAGACATTGATAAACTAAAACTATTTTCAACTATTCTTCATCACTTTATGTTTATTTAAATAGTCCTCTAAGTATCTGTACCAGATGCTTCTATTTATACCATCAAATAATTATGAAGTGTCATGTATGAGAAACCCATGTCTCAATGCACAGGGATTTTCTTATAAGACACAGACCTGCCATCATGAAACTTATAATATCAAGAGGAAAAGTAAAATAAACTACTCATCTGTATGATAATTTAATTGTTACTGTGATGAACACTTTGAAGGCACAAATGGAGTAAGAGCTCACAAGGCAGTGAGTGGCAGGAGCGAGTGTGGCAGAACCATTAGGGAGCAATTGAGAAACTCAAACAAGAATGACATTAGCATTTAATCTTCTAAATAATCTCTAGGCCTTGAGGCTATGTGGAAACTCAGAGATCATAGTTATAATATTAATTATGGTAATGCATTTATAAAATTTCTACTTGACAATGATAATCATATAATGAAGTTATATTCAACATAAGGACAATAATTACCATATATATATATATATGTTCAGTGTTCTAGAAATGAACCAAACTGTATTTCTACAAAAAGAACTTAGACTTCTTCCCTTAAAATTTGAGTAAGAACTGGAGCTTTCACTCTTGGGCTTAATTTTATGTCATATACTATTTTGCGCATATTCTGTCACTAGCGAAGTGAAAGAAAGGCACTTTTAATGTTGCTAACATCTGAGACTGCCTGTGTGGTGTTTCTGCTGACCTGAACACTGCATGTCCTATCAACTATGAGTCATCTTCCCTCACGGGCATATACAGTGGCTGGAAGCCGGACTCTGCCAACTGGAGTGGCAAGAATCTCCACACACCTCCTAGATGGAATTAAAGGGTCATAAAGAAAATGCTTTTAGTCCAAGAAAAGGTGGAATATGTGAACCCTGAGAGGATGAAGTTTTAGGGCTTCATAATTGGTCCAACTTCAGATTTATGGCATACAGAGAAAGATGACAAAGTTCATTTGGGTGATTACACACTCACAGTAAACGAATGAACTTTATGTGTGCTTCTGCTCACCAGCTTTAGTGGCCTTTAGGACTCTCTAAGATAAGTGTGCAGTCCTCAGTGGAGGTGAATGGAGTAACTATAAATTCAGGTCTCTGTGACATGTGTGGTTCTCTACTGACACAATTTAGCAGTCTATGAAGTCAGATTTGTGTGTGTAGTGCAGGTCCACGGTGACACAGCAAAGGGGAGCCCAATGGTGGTTAACCTTGCAGGTGTAGGCTTTAAGTTATTCACTTTTGTCTCTTCTAAGCCTCACTCTCTTCATGTGGAAAATGATAAAGAAAAATGTTCTTATCCACATCTTAGGGTTAGTGAGTGATTGACAGCAACATAGGTAAGTATGTGAAATATAGTGATGCTTAATAAATGTTCAGAACCTATTTTCAATGAGTATTCCTTGTCATCCATAACATCATAGTTTTTTTTTTTTTTAATTGTAGATGCTCCCTAAAATCCTGGATAAGCTAGCACCAGCATTCACCATGAACAGCTGCAGCTTCCTTGTGGAGAAATCTCGAGCCTCTACAGCCAGGGTGGTGGTGTGGAGAGAGATGGGAGTGTTCAGAAGCTACACCATGGAAAGCAGCTATTGTGGCTGCAACCAGGGCCCTTACCAGGTATGTGAGACTGCAGACCTCCACACTTTCCACCCAGTAGCAGAACACAGAAATGGAGAACAGTAACAGATCCCTCATTCTGCTTTATCAGTTGAAGGCTCCAAGCTGAATCTGGCTCTGTCTCTCTGCTTTGTAGAACTGGTTCAATGACTGTCTTCAGCAGCGTCTCTGTTGATCCTAGAAGTAATGTGTGCATGCCCTCCAATGTAGTTCCTCAATCAGCTATCCTCACTAGTAAGCTGCAGGGAGCCTCTCTCTGACCTGTACTCTGAGTTTTTACAGTCTCCCTGGCCATTAGATGCGTGAAAATGTCTTTTGTAGCAACTGAGCTGGCTCCATATACATCACAAAGGGCATGAGTCTATAGATATTGTCTAAATATTTTTGCATTGTGTTTTTCCTCTGTGTCAATATAAACCAGCAGCTCTCTGTGCTACCCTAGCTGTCACCAGAGCACATGGTGGTATGTATATAGTGTGAGTCTTCCAGAATTAGCGTGTTTGGGACTCATGTGCTAGTGTCGAGGGAAAGCATGCACATATATATCATGTCCTTTCTACAGCTATATTAACTGTACGAGCAGCTGGATAGCTGATGGAGTTCACTACTCTTGCTGCTCTTCCCACTCTCCCAAAGAGAAACATAAATAAAGGACATTGTGACAGTGCCAGGGTAATAGACTCTTTTAAACTTCTTAGGCAAGCTGACAGACTACTCCTTGGTGACTTCTATTCAACCCCAAGAATACACGGACCTCACCAGCATTAAGTTCATTGTGTATTGGCTTTGTTACTCTCCTGGAGGGGCCAGGAAGCACTTGGTATCTGTGTGATCCTGAGATTGTAGAAATCTGTTAATGCTCAAAGGGACTTCAGGGAGTGAGTGACAGGTGATGAGCACTGCTTATCTTTCCACCTGGTCAAGGAGATTTTTGACACAAGGCTACTGAACTACTCATTTTGATTCATTAACTCTGTCTGATAATTATCATAAAATGTTGCTTCAAAGAATTGTTTTGTGACTAGATTAATGTTATTAGACTACACAAATCACATTTAACTCTTGCTAATATAGATGTAAAACAGGAAGAGTTGGGGTCATTGAATAGTTATCCAAAGGCCTCATTCCTCCACTTACCAAAAAGGACTAAACCTAATTACCTCCAATGGTTGCCAAAGCTAATGAAGATAGTAATGAGGCATCCTCTCCTCCCTCTGGCACAAGAATTTTGTAAATGCATGTATAATTGGAGGTTCTTTAGTTAGGACAGCTCTTCACTCTGTTGGTAATCAAAACCTATGGGACCATAAAAAAAAGTCTAGATTATTGTAATCCTATGAACTTGCCTCTCTTGTGATATGCTTTTGTATGGAAAGGGATGTCAATTGCTTCAAATCCCATGCAGCCTTTTTCAGTTTATTGCACTGGTGAATTTGTGACCAAGCACCAATTCAGACTCACATCCTCTAGTCACATAAGTACCATTGCTACTTGTGATACATCATTTGACATTCAAAGGCCTTTGTACCTGTTTGAAAAGTGAATGGCCTTGTCTAGATCTCTCTTTTCCATGTAGCATACATAATGGCTATTACATGTGACAAAGGATGAAAGAGACTCAGCCAGTGGGGTGGTTGGTTTTCAGACTCAACAGCTATCCAGGATTTTCCACATGATTTTTGCATGAGGTCTCTAGAAGAAGAATGGAGAGAAAGCTGGCTACAAAACTCTAACTGGGCCTGACATAGATTTGGTTTCACAGTCCTTTTCTCTATATGAAACACCTCTATGAATGAATTGATTTTCTCCTCCCTTTGTTTTCCTGTCCTTCCAAACACTATGGAGTACCAAACAGAATTAAAGACAGTGCACACGGGTGGGTGAATGATTCTACATATGGGGCTGTGGGAAGGAAGCTAGCCCAGAGTTGGGTGTTTGGGTGATTTTTGTCTGAGGCATATCATTAAGTCTATGAGCTATAAAGCAGTATAGAAATTTCTACCCTGAACATATTGCACATGATTATTTTTTTACATTGGGAAACTGAATCCCAGTTGGGTCTTGAGGTTATTATTCTAAGGTCATCTTTCCATTTTTTTGTTTAGTATTAGCATTTATCCAAAAGATGGAGGATACTTAAATACACCCATGAGGGGCATTCTTTCCTTCCTTCATAAGAATATAAATATTTTTGCAGTTTCTCTGGTTAATGTGGCTTTAAAGCAGTTCCAATCATTTCTCCCCCAGCACACTAAGTACCTGATTTGTTAGTAGTGAAATGAAATATCATTTCTTACAGTGACATTTATGTTGGAACTACATTAAAGAACATAAGCTATTACCTCAGATAATTATTATTAATATAGTATTTTCTCTTCTATTTTCCAGTCTATAGTTGGCTAATTTAAAAAAATTTCCTTGCTTGTATGTCTCTTGGATAAAGGCTCTGCTGCTAGTCATAGACTTAGATCCATAATTTGCATTTAATGTGGAAGTCCCACCCACTGAGAGATTTACTTTACCTGTTGAGCACTGGCCCACAACAATGAAAGTTGCTGAGGGGGAAAGCAAGATGGAATGATGTAGCCTTTAGGGGCTCATTTTTATAGACATCCAGTTGATGTGGACAGCTGTATTCTTCAGACTGTTTGTGACCTGGGGTCACATACACAGAGTGCTTGTATGTACAAAGGCATATAGCTGGGTCCCGTGGGTTGTAGAAAGTGTTGTGAGGACTCCCACCCAAGCAGGCCTTTGACTTGCCCCTTGGCAACACTGGTGAAGCAGCAACACAATCTGAGAGGAAAAACAGAAGATGAATGACACAGCTGAGGTTTGAAGAGGGATTAGCTGATGCGCAAATTCAATTCCCATGGGATCTCTCTTTTGTATTGTGGACCTTTCATGTGATCCATCTTTTCTAGCACCCACAGAAGGATCACTCGATAAACTCAATCTATTCAAGTCATGATATTGCCCATAAGCCATCTATTTTGTAATGTTTTTTTCCTGGGGAAATGTAATCAAAGCCTATTCACCCCAGATCTGACACTGAAAATAGACCAAACAGACAATTTCACCCAAGTTTTAGGGTAGAGGACCAAACAGATTTTTGGGTTTGCTTTCAGAAGTTTTTATGAGTTGCTTCTTAGAGGTGCATGGGTGGCTCCATGCACTTAGTTGTACCACTGATAATTCCCACCCCAGCATGGGTGACAGCCTCCCAAAAGCTGCATAGATAAGTTTCTCTTTTTAGTGGACCTTCCACCTCCAATGTTCACTTTTCCACCTCTTAAGACCACAGTCAGCTAGGTCAGAACTGCACGTAGGAGGGGGTAGGTGGCTATAGTCGCAGGGGGAGGGTCTGATAACCTTCCTCCTACTTCCACAAAGGAATGCCAATGGGCCTGACCTTGTAATTGTCTTGTGTGGGTCATCAGAACTGCTCTGATTAAGACTATAACAGGCCAGATGATAGCATTCCATAGTACTACCCAGGTCTTAATTCTAAAATCCAACCATGTATCATGATGTTAAGACCTTTTACAATCTCTTGATTTTTTTTTATTTATTATTTTTATTTTATGTGTATGAGTGTATTGCCTGCATGTATGTGAGTGCACCCGTGTCGTGCAATGCCGCGGAGGTCAGAAGAGGGCTTTAGATTCCCCTGGAACTGCAGTTAAGGGTGGTTTGTAGCTGCCATGTGGATGCTGGGAATTGAACCCAGGTCCTCCGTAAGAGCAGTCAGTGCACTTAACTGCTGAGCCATCTCTCCAGCCCCTGATCTCTTGATATTTTTTAATAGTCAGTGAATGCTTAGTCTAGTATAGACTCAATATTGACATGTTTAATGAGTGAATAAATACATGAATAAACAATGAATGTTACTATCTAGGTGTTTAAATGATTATCTTTTATTTACATGGATAACTAATAAACAGGAGCTCACTGTGGTTGAAATGTGATCAAAAGCCTTTGTAAAAATGGAGATATTGTAAATTGTTACAGGGCCTGGAGTGGAAAATGTGTGGGTTGGAGAGGAAAAGGCAGGGAAACCAGAGCTGAGACCTCTCAGACCTGTCATTGTGCACATGATTTGAGAGCGCCTAATGGATTCTTTCCCAGAATAAAGCAACTCTGATCCAGGTGTGGAATCTCTCATGGCTACATTCTAATAACAGATGGTGATTAGGCAGAAAGACTTCCATGTGTGTATGAGGTAGATACTGCGGCCCACATCCTGGGTCCCTCTTTAGCCTCAGTCACTCATTTTCCCTGACTGCCCAGAGCTCAGTTGATCACCATGTATAATATAAAGCTAAGGGAAGCTGCCAGTTGCCTTGCCCAAAAGTCTGGCTCCTTTTTAGCGCAGATGCATCCAATGGCAAGTAATAGGTGGAAGACAAAGGCCTGGCCTCCTGGCCTTTTTGGGACAACTCCAAAGGGCTTGTCTTAACTCTCATGTTTTCCGCAGGCTCAGCGGGAGACTTGGTTGGATTCTCAGTGAGAGCTGATTTCCCCTCTGCCCAGCTCTACGTTCTCAGCACTCACAGGTGTTCCAGGGAACATTCCCCCAGTCCACCTATATGCAATTCTCTGAGTCTCAGAAGATGCTTCCTGGGGAAAATGACTTGTAACAGTGCTTTAAAAAGGCTTAGATTAGCAAACATCCATATAGGACCTAAATAATTAAAATACTGAAGATGGTTTGACAGGGATGAATTTCATAGGAAATTATGTGATCTAAACTCAGAATCCAAGGATCCCACAGTCTTTCATTCATACTCAACTTGCCTTCCTTGGGTAGGGCACGAGGCCTCTTTTTGGGCTAGAGACTGTAGCTGGGTACAGGGTTTGTTAGGATGGTACAGAATGGAGGCTGAGTAGCCTGGCACTGTGATGTATGCATATAATCCCAGCATTACAGACATGGGGGAAGGAGGATCATAATGTATAGGCCAGCCTGGGCTACATAGAGTACAAGGCCTGCCTGGGTG